CATTTGTGAACGTAAATATTTCCTCACACGTGTTAACTTCTTGCGGAATAGACTCAATGAGCTTTTCTGAATATGGTGCCAATGATAGTCCGCCATTCTTTTCTTCCCCTTTATTAGCATTGCAACAAGAGGCCTCAATACCATCACGGGAAATCTTCATGCGGAACCAACATTGCAAGAAATCCTCCAAGGTCACTGGATATCGTGGCTTTTGAGGGTGGTACATCTCTATTTTTGCTTTCTTCAAACGCCTAACTGGATTCTGTTTTGTTGGTCTTTTTACCATTATCTTCCTTGTTGGTTTTTCTATTGATTCTTTCGTGGGCTCCTACGATGAGTCACCAACGTCCAACCTTCATCATCATTAGATTGATCGTCTTCAACTTTGTTGTTCTCCAGTAATTCTTGATCTTTGATTTCTTTTAAACTGCATAACTCATCTTGACTGAATGAGCAAAAGGTGATAGATACTTGGTTTGCGCTTGCTTTCTCATCTTCAAGCATGATCTTCTTTTCACGGGCCAAGTGCATGACTGTCCTTGAAGACAAAGCACTTCTCCAGAGGGTGGCTTACAAGTCGGTGATATTTGCAGTAATTTGGGTCATTCATTTTCCCAGCTTCATTTGGTCGCTTCATCTCCGGAAGCTCAATAAGATTTAACTTGAGGAGATCTTCAAAAATTGCTAGCACATCAGAATCCAAAAATGGGTACTCCTTATTTTGCATTTCTTTTAAAGTCAACTTCCCACTTGGTGTATCTTGAAAAGAAGTGGATTTCGTACTATGCTTGTTGCTCACCTTCATTGTGAACTTCACAGGTGATGTATTGACATTCATGACTTCTTTGTTTTCAGGCCTCGGTACCAACTTGCTTCATTTCCTGACTTCATGCTTGTCGTTCCCTTTGCGAGGCTCATAGATAGGCAACCTTTCGTTTCCAACAGAGCCCATGCTTAACTCCATGTCATGGTCACGAGTCGTAAGTTCTTCAAACATGCTAGGCTTGATACCTTGCAAGATGTAGCACAATCCCCAATACATGCATTGGATACACATCTCTATGCCAGAAGCTTCACTAAGCCTCTCTTTGCAGTTGAGGCTTGCGTTCCTCCAACGATTGATAAAGTCGATAACCGATTCACCCTTTCATTGACAAGTATTTGTAAGTTCTATCATACTCATGGTACGTCTCGTGTTATAAAAGAGATTGAGGAATTTTTGCTCTAGTTGATCCCAGCTATCACTAGATCCAGCCTCGAGGTCTATGTACCAGTCAAAAGCATTTCCTTTTAGCAAGCAGACAAACTACTTGATGAGGTAATCTCCATAAGTCCCAGTATTGTTGCACGTCTCAATGAAGTGCGCCATATGTTGCTTTGGATTATCTTTTCCATCAAACTGTTGAAACTTCGGAGGTTGATAACCAGCAGGCATCTTCAACATATCGACCCTTGCAGTGTACGGTTTTGCATATGTAAGGGAGGACTTGGCAGCAACTTCATACTTGTTCTTAATGGTTCCTTCAATGAACCCCTTCAGTTGATCGATTGGAATCATCCCTTTAGATGAGACAGGGATAGCCTTAGCGGATGCTCCTTGTCTTTGGGGAGAATCACTTTCTGGAACTTTTGGGAGTTGGCCAGGTGCATGGGTAGATGCTTCTTCCATCAAGATTCCCACCCTATTTGTTAGCTTGTCGATTCTATCATCTTGATTTTGCATGCACTTGGTCAAGCCAGTGATTGCTTCTGTCTAGTTTGCTAACTGCTCCTTCACAGATGAAGTGTTTGTCACCATGGCTTGCATGATTGTTCTGGACGATGGAGAGTAGCATGAATTTTCACACAGATTGATCCTTGATTGGCTCACACTATTTGGTGTAAGTGGGGAGGATCCATCACTTGAAGCATCATCATCTTCCTTCATAGCAGAGTGCTTGGATCCGGAGAGGTCAAGTAGAGCATGATTTTTCTTGATCTTTTCAGCAACATCGCTTCCTCCTTTAGGTGCGTTTGTGGAAGATCTTGCTCCTTTTGAGGATGAAGATCCAAAAATAAGGGTTGATGCGGACGACACTTGGGTACATGTTGTCGTAACGAGCTTGCTTTTCTCCTCGTAACTGGTCCAAAGCTTCCAAAGGTAACATCGAGGATGCTTTCCACATCGGCATATAACCTGGAATTAGAAGCTTTGGTGAAAGTTGAACTGGAGTTGATTTTCTTTGAAGCCATTTCAATGTTCTTGAACTTTGGTGATTGAAAAGTTGAGATGAGAGGTAGAGATGGTCCCACTGGGCGTGCCAGTTTGTTTGCAACTAATTTTTAACATATGAAAAATAAAGTGCAATCACAAAATAAGAGAAAAATATTTTTACTAATCAATTGTGAGTACAATACTATTTCTCTCTTGATTCTTCTCTACTGATTATCTCCGTGATTCGAGGGCTGAAGTCGCATATTTCTTGAGTATAAGATGATGCAAACCTTCTGGGGATGTATTTGATCTCCAGCTTTTTGAACTATTTGATTGTCAAGAAGTATCCGGTCATATTTTGATCTCTTTGTAAATATCCCAAGAGTTTATGGGATTTTGAGACATCTCTTCAAGGGATATGTATCCCTTTATATAGGCGTGAGTTATGGTTTCGGGTAGAGTAACCTCCAAGAAACCCTAACAGACTCCTAGGATTTCAAGAGTCATGTAGTATCTTTAATTTAGGATTTGGCTTGATCCCTTAAAATTTCGATGTCTATAAATGGTTTTGCCGAAACTTTAAGACGAAACTTGAAGTACTCTAAAATCGCAACAAATGGTTTTGAAACTTGGAGTTTTTGATTTATAGGAGGAAGAGATGAAGGGCAAAACTGGTCCCACTGGGCATGCCAGAATTTGTAGACAATAAATTTGCATCAAGAAAATAAAATCGAGATAAAAAAATATTGCAACAATCGTAGTATTTTATTTCAAATAATTTGAGCGTACAATCTCTATGAATCCTCTGATTCTTCTTTCCAATAGTAAATAAATTCAAGGGCCTTTGAGCTTGATCTTGAATATGTATTTGCTGCCACGAATGATGGTCTTGAATTCAATTAGTACGAACTTTGATTTGAACTCGTACTCCTTGAATGTTGATTTGTTCTTCGTTCTTGATATTGAACTTGATTTGTTCTTCGTTCTTGGGCTTGAACTTGATTTGTTCTTCGTTCTTGAATTTGAACTTGATTGCTTGAAACTTGAAACTTGTAGAGAAATTTGTGGCGTTTGATCCACGAGCTCTCTCTTGCTTCTTGTTATCATTTTTTGTGTCTTTTCTGGGTTATGAAGATTCCTATTTATAGTTGTGGGAGAGAAGAGTTATGATAAGAACAAACTCTTTCCGACCAATCAAATCGAAGTGTGACAAGGCCGTATTTGATTGGCCAGAACATGTCACTTGCACACGTGGCACGGTTTCATTGGCCTTTTAATGTGACTTAGCATGCCTTGTCATTTTGACACATGGCACGATCCTAGTGGCTCTTTCGTTTGACTTGGCGTGCCACGTCATTTGACACGTGGCACTGGGCCTCTAGGAAGATGTCATCTTGGGCTTAATAAAGTGTGCTCATCACTTGTAGCCCAATAAAATGGGTTAGCCCACTAAATTTGGACCTATATATTTAATCTATATATACTGGACTTATATAATTAATTCAATTATATTAACCCAATAAAATTATTTGAGTTAATATATGTTGAATTTAAAATATAGTCCAAAATATTTTATGGATTTAATTTCAATAAATTTTATATGCCTACGGTGGTATCTAAATATACAAATTACAAATAAATTTTCTTTTTTAGAGAAAAAAATGTGTCATTTAATGGTGCCATGTAAAATAAATTATTTTTTAAAAAAAATTAAAAACTCTGAAATTTTAAATTCTGAAAACAAACGTGTGCTATACAACAACAAATAAATTTGAAACTCTACAAAATTGGAGAATTATCCAAAAAATTTATATATATCAATTTAATATTATGTCACTTGTCAATATAATATTTCTTTGCCTCTCTTCTTATATATATAAATAGACACGTGGCACTGGGCCTCTAGGAAGATGTCATCTTGGGCTTAATAAAGTTTGTTCATCACTTGTAGCCCAATTAAATGGATTAGCCTACTAAATTTGGACCTATTTATTTAATCCATATATACTGGACTTATATAATTAATTCAATTATATTAGCCCAATAAAATTATTTGAGTTAAAATATGTTGAATTTAAAATATAGTCCAAAATATTTTATGGATTTAATTTCAATAAATTTTATATGCCTACGGTGGTATCTAAATATACAAATTATAAATAAATTTTCTTTTTTAGAGAAAAAAATGTGTCATTTAATGGTGCCATGTAAAATAAATTATTTTTAAAAAAAATTAAGAACTCTGAAATTTTAAATTCTGAAAACAAACGTGTGCTATACAACAATAAATAAATTTGAAACTCTACAAAATTGAAGAATTATTCAAAAAATTATATATATCAATTTAATATTATGCCACTTGTCAATATAACATTTCTTTGCTTCTCTTCTTATATATATATAAATAGAAAATAGATTTAGGATTAATCTCTTAACGAGGTAAGAATCTTTTTAGTCAAGTCACATATCGAAACTCGCAAATGGAGAATAATATTATAGTTCCTTTTTCCTTTTCCCCGTACTGTTTCTTCAGATATTCACATGTAGCCAGTTCCGAGTTCAGATAAATTGGTAATTTTAACTGTTCCTGTAAAAATAGTTTAATTTTAACTGCAGAACTAGTTTCGAATTGAGAGACACTTTGAAATATTATTTGATTGATTTGCTTATTTGGATAGTGACATTGATTCTTGTATACTTTGTATTACAGCTCAGCTGAAGCAAAATCAACAACTACAAGGATCTACTCCGGCAAATTTTCCACCTTCTTCTTCATCATCGATGACGTCAGTAGGAGGAAGTGTGGCGGCGCCTCCACCTCCGCTGCCGCCTAAGGAATCTTTTGTCCGGCGCTACAAGTTCCTTTGGCCTATGATCTTGGCTGTCAATTTGTCTGTTGGAGGTTCCTATCTGACTCCCTTGCTTTTTTCTACTTTCTTAAAACTGTATATACTATTCAATCTCCTACCTTTGATCCTTGCTTGAATATACATATTCGCGCTCTTTCACTTTCAACTAGCGCCCAGTTTTGTGGATTTTTTGGTTTAAGCAGGATAGATCCTTAATGTTAGGTCAATTGGTGCATAGGGCTATTGTATGCACCAATTGATAGAAAAATACTTTTGATATCTCAAAAAAGAAATATTCTAATATTATGTCTAGGTTCATTTTCTTACTATTATATTAATGAGTCATTATGATAGTAATTATTTTTAAAATATTTGTAACAGAAAATTAGTTAATTTTGAATTCAATTTGGGATAATATAAATTTAAAAATTGAATGCTCATTAGTATTGATCTGTACGTTATTGAAAAGTCAATAACGTTTGTATTGAAAAATCAGTGCCTAATCTTAATGGCTTTAATACTTAACGTATAGTTTTTTGAACGTTTCTGATGGTTTATGTTTTCCTTGAACAACCTCTAATATGGAACAGAGAGTCTACTTCTGTTTTAGACTATATATACCTCTTCATCTTCAAAACAGAAAAGTAGTGAAATTAGTAAAACTTTTCTTCTTCTTTCTTTTGTGCTGGGTTTTCTTCTTATAAATCTTTGTTGTTTCTGCTCCTAGTTATACTAGAAGAGCTTGTTGAATCTTGGGGGATACGCCTAATATTATTCATCTCGGTGTGGGCGAAATATCCTTAAGGACAGTGTCCTTGACACGCCTCAAGCTAAACCTCTTATTCTCCATAATCATCCTATTTTTTCCAACAATCTTAAGGATATTTTCACATAGTTATTATGGAGAATAACGCTGCTAATGTTGCTGTTGATGCTACTGCACCTGCTGCACCAACTGTTTCTGTTGATGTTCCATCACCAATTACATGTGCCAAACCTTTTCCGGATGTTTCAAAAATTGAGGTTTTTGGTGGAGATAATTTTAACCGCAAGCATGCTGTTGTTGACAAAGGAAAAGAAATTGCAACTAGAAGCAGCCTTGTGGAGGACAACAACTGTCAGAGAAAATCAAGTAACAGGTACGACGAAAGAAATGGTTATAAGCCCAAAACTAACAATCAAACCTTCAAGGAAAAAAGCAACTGCTTTGTGTGTGGCAAATCTGGCCAATATGTTGCTCAATGTCGAAAAAGGGTTGGGAATGACAATCCCACTAAGCTAAAGTAAATTTGACTGAAGCCAAAGTGGATGATATAATTGTTGCGGTTATTTCCCAAGTTAACCTTGTGGCCAATGTGAAAGATTGGGTGTTAGATTCTGGTGCCACTAGGCACATATGTGCTAACAAAAAAGACTTTGTGTCTTACACCCAAGTTGAGGAGGGAGAAGAAGTTGTCTATCTTGGTGACTCAAGAACTACTCAAGTTCTTGGAAAAGGCAAAGTTCTTCTCAAACTCACATCTGGCAAAACTTTGGCATTGAATAACGTGTTGCATGTTCCTAGTATCCGAGCCAATTTGGTCTCTGTGGGATTATTAGGAAAAGTGGGAGTGAAGGTTTCTTTTGAATCTGATAAGGTCGTGTTGACCAAGAATAATAATTTTGTTGGCAAGGGTTATTATAACCATGGCTTGTTTGTACTCAATGTTATGAATGAAAATGCTAGTACTTCTGCTTACTTGATTGATTCTTTTAATTTATGACATGCTAGATTAGGACATGTTAGTTTATCTTATATTAAGAAAATGCATCTTGAAGGTCTTATTTCAAATATTAATTTTTCGAATATTGATAAGTGTGAAGATTGTGCAGAAGCTAAACAAACTAAGAAATCATGTGCTTTAGTATTTAGAGAATCTGAATTATTAAATTTAATTCATACTGATCTAGGAGACTTGAAACAAACAATGACTAGAGGAGGGAAAAAATATTATGTGACTTTTATAGACGATTTTTCTATATGTACAAAAGTTTATTTGTTGAGAAATAAAGATGAAGCTTTTGATAAGTTTTTAATTTATAAATCTGAAGTAGAAAATCAATTAGATAAGAAAATCAAAAGAGTTAGATCCGATAGAGGTGGTGAATTTATTTTGTTGAATGATTATTGTGAGAAAGAAGGCATAATTCACGAGATAACTCCGTCATATTCTCCACAATCAAATGGTGTAGCGGAAAGAAAAAATAGGACTTTAAAAGAAATGATGAATAGTATGATTGTTAGTTCTGGTGCTCCGGATAATCTTTGGGGTGAAGCCATTTTATCTGCTTGTCATTTACAAAATAGGATTCCTTATAAGAAAACAGGTAAAACTCCTTATGAGCTGTGGAAAGGCTATCCCCCTAATTTGAAATATTTGAAAGTGTGGGGGTGCCTTGCTAAAGTAATGCTACCCGATCCTAAGAAAAGAAAGATAGGATCTAAAACATCTGATTGTATGTTTATTGGGTATGCTGAAAGCAGTGCAACATATAGATTTTTAGTAGTCAAAAGTAATGTACTTGAAAACAATACTATTGTTGAAACAAAAAATGCTGTATTTTTTTAGAATATTTTTCCTTTAAAATTTGAAAAAAATTCCGATGCTCCTATTATTCCAAGCGATAATATTTCACATGTTCCAATTGTTCAAAATGATTTTGAAAGTGAGGATTTAAGAAGAAGCAAAAGACCAAGGAAAGAAAAATCTCTTGGTAATGATTTTGATACTTATCTTGTGGATAATGATCCTTTAACATATTCTGAAGCTATTTCTTCGTATGATGCCTCATTTTGGAAAGAAGCTATTGATGTAGAATTAAATTCAATTTTACAAAATAAAACTTGTATTTTGGTAGATTTACCTCCGGGAGCTAAAACCCATTGGTTGTAAATGGATTTTTAAGAAGAAACTCAATCCGGATGGTTCCATTGATAAATACAAAGCTAGACTTGTTGCAAAAGGTTTTACCCAAAAGCAAAATATTGATTATTTTGACATTTATGCTCCTGTAACTAGAATTTCCTCGATTCGTGTTTTACTTGCCTTGGCTTCTATTTATAAATTTTTTATTCACCAAATGGATGTTAAAACTGCATTTTTAAATGGTGATTTGGAAGAGGAAATTTACATGGAGCAACCTGAGGGTTGTATAGTGTCTGGGCAAGAAAATAAAGTATGTAAATTGTTAAAATCTTTATATGGTCTAAAGCAAGCACCTAAACAGTGGCATGAAAAATTTGATCAAGTATTGATTAATGATGGTTTTTCATCAATTGAAGTAGATAAATGTGTTTATACAAAATGTGTAGATGGTACATGTGTTATTATTTGCCTTTATGTGGATGGCATGCTTATTTTTAGTCCTAGCCTTGATTTGGTACATAAAACTAAATTTTTCTTGTCTTCTAATTTTGAGATGAAAGACATGGGAGAAGCTAGTGTTATTTTAGGCATGAAAATTATAAGAGATGACAATAGTTTGATGTTGACTCAAGAACATTATGTTGAAAGAATTCTTAAAAAAATTGCTAATTTTGATGTGGTACCTGTAAGCACTCCTTATGATGCTAGTAGTCAATTAAAAAAGAATGAGGGAGATTCTATAGATCAAAATAAATATGCTCAAGTTATTGGTAGTCTAATGCATTTGATGAATTTTACTAGACCTGAAATTGCATATGCTGTGTGTAGATTGAGTAGATATACTCAAAACCCGAGTCATGATCATTGGAATGCATTAGTAAGAGTAATGAAGTATTTGAGAGGTACCATGAGCTATGGTATTAAATATAGTGGATTTCCCACTGTACTAGAAGGATACAGTGATGCTAACTGGATCTCTGATTCAGATGAGACAAAATCCACTAGTGGTTATGTGTTCACCCTCGGTGGGGGTGTTGTGGCATGGAAATCAGCTAAACAAACAATAATAGCTAGATCTACCATGGAATCTGAGTTTGTGGAATTGGAATTAGCTGGCAATGAGGCCGAGTGGTTAAAGAACCTTTTGGCGAGTATTCCACTAGGAATAAAACCGACACCTTCTGTGTCGATGCATTGTGATTGCCAAGCTGCAATAGCCATTGCTAAAAATAAATCCTTTAATGGGAAGAGTAGACATATCAGATTGAGACATAATGTGATAAAGCAGCTGCTGAAAGATGGAATTATTTCAATAGATTATGTGAAGTCAAAAATGAATTTGGCCAATCCTCTGACTAAACCTTTGGGAAGAAAATTAATATCCGAAACATCGAGGGGAATGGGACTTTTGCCAATTTGAGTTATATCAACTATGATGGTAACCCAACCTATGTGATTGGAGATCCCATGAAGTAGGTTCATATGGGTAATAACAAGTCATTAGTTTATCAAATGTGCACTATTAAATTATATCCCTTCCTATGGTGTATGTGTGTATATAGTGCAAGTCTGCAAGGAATGAGAGGCTGAGTTATTAAACTCTTAATCTATTAATCCATAGCCTTTTATAGGTGGTGTATTGTGTTGTAGAATACACTTGATGGATGGACCTATATGAGTGTGGAGTGGGGCCGCTCCTATGAAATTTATGGCAAAAAATTTCTAGAGCACTCATGAAAACCAGGCGCACGCATGGCCTATTAGCGCAAAACCGCGACAAACAACAAAGTGTGTGCGGGTATAATGTGATAGATAAGACACTAAACTTACAAAAGAATTCTTGGTTCGTAGAAGTTCTAAACTTCACCATTTGTTCTGTAAGTTTAATCTTATTTTATCTAGGTCTGGTTCATAGTCCAAGAGACACCAGATTCGACGCATTATGCTCATTTGTGAAACCCAGCAAATTATTTTATTATTATTATTATTATTATTATTTTTATATCTTTTTGAGATATGTGGGGGATTGATAGAAAAATACTTTTGATATCTCAAAAAAGAAATATTCTAAAATTATGTCTAGGTTCATTTTCTTACTATTATATTAATGAGTCATTATGATAGTAATTATTTTTAAAATATTTGTAACAGAAAATTAGTTAATTTTGAATTCAATTTGGGATAATATAAATTTAAAAATTGAATGCTCATTAGTATTGATCTGTACGTTATTGAAAAGTCAATAACGTTTGTATTGAAAAATCAATGCCTAATCTTAATGGCTTTAATACTTAACGTATAGTTTTTTGAACGTTTCTGATGGTTTATGTTTTCCTTGAACAACCTCTAATATGGAACAGAGAGTCTACTTCTGTTTTAGACTATATATACCTCTTCATCTTCAAAACAGAAAAGTAGTGAAATTAGTAAAACTTTTCTTCTTCTTTCTTTTGTGCTGGGTTTTCTTCTTATAAATCTTTGTTGTTTCTGCTCCTAGTTATACTAGAAGAGCTTGTTGAATCCTGGGGGATACGCCTAATATTATTCATCTTTGTGTGGGCGAAATATCCTTAAGGACAGTGTCCTTGACACGCCTCAAGCTAAACCTTTTATTCTCCATAATCATCCTATTTTTTTCCACACCAGTTACCATTTTGTGATGGTGCGAATTTAGTGTGTGTGTGTGTGTGTAAAATTGCTCATCTATATACTCGTTTCGAGCTGAGGGTAGTGGGTGCTTCCAAATACTACACCTGCTTCCCTAAATGCTACTCCTCTGTGATATGAGACAAGGAATGCAACTCCTCTCGTCCTTGAATTCACTCATCGCTTTCCTGGTATTAGTTGTCTGATAGAGTTCTCTTCCTTTTTCATTTGAATGTTTTGTGGTTGTTTCAGCTTTAACTGAAAGCTTAAATGGGATCCTGGTGGTATTGACAATGTTATGACATGGAACTTCTACTGCTTCTTAGGTTGTTTGTGGTGGACATAGTATTGCCGTCTTTAAAATTTGATTGCTGTTGGATAGAGGCGTACTCTGATAGAATTTGACATTTATATAAACTAGTGGATCCACTCTTTTGTTTTCACTCCTCCAGTCTACCATTTGCTTCCTGTAACCGAAAAAAAGAAAAACACAGATTGTACTGAAATGAGAAACTCAGAGCTTTTCACTTGATAAATTTTCTAATCAAAGCCACATTGTACTTTAGAAAGAGAAAAGAATCTGAAATCTTGTATACACTTTTACTTGGTGGTTCACTTGGTGATTGTATTCAAGTTGGAAATGTGGAGAACTGGATAGCCTTCTATTTAGATCTTATCTAGTGGCTTATAGTCCTTCTGCACTATATGCTTCGGTCTATATTTTCAGTATCTCAATTGGTTCAGTTCCGACATCAAGAGATCATAGTATATCTAACTTATACTCTGAGTGGTGGACAGTCTTTATTCTGTATTGTGCTTTGCTGCAAGTAGATTCTCTTTGTCTTTCACTATATTTCTTTAGCTAAAGTTTGTGCTGTAAGGGATATGACTCTGACGGAGAAGTAGCAAACACTTTATATATGTATGAGCATATTCATTTTCTGAGAAGTGAATTGTTTTTGTTTGTTACAACAAGTCAGAAGATGGGGCTTTGTTACTTCTCATATCTTAGTTCAATGTCACGTGTTATCTTCTGGAAAGATGTGTGACTCTGATGATAAGTTAACCTGTATTCTTTTGTCGCTCGTGCATTCTTTACATTCTTTGGAGCTGTGCTGCAGTGTCTTTCCAATTCTAATTCGATAACTCATCTTGCTTTTACATTCACGGCACATTAACATGCACTTTTTTTTGTAATTTGTGTAGCTTATCTTGTCTTGAGGACCAAAAGGAAAGATGTGGGAACTGATGCAGGAGAAGTGTCTGATAGTCCTAGTAATTCAGTTTCATCAGCAGCTGCTATTACTGCAGCACCTCCTGTGCTGCCTGCTATTGTTCATGAACCAATTTCAGGAGAACAACAGCGTGAACTATTTAAGTGGATATTGGAAGAAAAGAGAAAACTTAAGCCAAAAGATCCCGAGGAGAAAAGGCGCACTGATGATGAGAAAGCCATTCTCAAGCAGTTTATTCGAGCCAAGTCCATTCCAAGTTTGTAAAGACAGATCCTTCACGCCTTTGATACTAGTAGCGTTGGATTGATTTAGGTTGGATTTTCTCTTTTTCTTTTTTACTACAAAGATTGCGCTGAAGAATCAATTTGCTTGGACTATGAGTGGACATAGGATGTGTTTAAATCTCTGGCTTTTGTAAGAAATCTGTAAATAGTGGTGCTTTTCTTCTTTATATTTGAAATACGAATCGAATATAGCACAAGTGTGAGTAAGTTTTAATCTCATAATCATTTTTACTCTATCTTGTATTGTTCCATTCATTGAATGTTGCTCCACTTAGAGAATGACCTGGTGAAACATAAGATAGTAGTCAACTTTCTTTTGATATGTGCAGCTTGTGCTAAACCGTCGAAACAATACGGTGCATAATATTATGTCTCTCCAAGTAAAACTGAAACGAAAATGGCTTTAAAACACCAACATTTGAGCTAGCTGAGACTAGTATCGATAGTCTTCTCTATGTCCAATTTACTTATGCAGTATATATAATGCCATGGATTGAGCCAAAGCCTGTTCTCTTCCACTATGGTTTGATTCGCTCTTGGTGCTTTTAGGACATGCTCATTTGGGGAAAATTGACCTTCACGCAGTTTTTGTACTAATTTCATGAATATATAATTTGTTTATTTTAAATAAACTTTAATCTTCCCATGGTTTAATTATTGCACGTCACTTAAACTCTGAATCTTGTTTGGTGTAAATACTGGATTTATGTCTCTGCTAAATTCCCGTCCTTGCATTTACGTCTACCCTCTTCTTCACGCCCTTCCATCAACTACAATAATCTCAAGTAACCTAGTCTATTTGTAAACTGTAGAATATTTAAAGAAGTTTGTGTGGTAAATGAAGTACGGTTTGCATAGTGAAAGTTGGATACTTTTGACATCGGTAATGAAAGTTCAACTTGTACATGGTGCATAGTGAGCATGATTGCACTTGTAAAAAGGTTGCCCCGTGCACAAGACATCTCGCGTTCATATAGCGTTCACCGCACCCAAGAAGTGTGATCTAAACAACCTACCTTAATGCAAGCATGATTGCACTTGTATCTTCTTAAAAGAGAGTGAACTTTCACTATAAGTCCCGAGTGTAACTTTTTATATTGACTAAGAAAACAATTAAGAATTTTAGTACAGGTAACTAAGTGATACGTGTAGGACTAGCAGGCCAGATAATATTTAGCAATTGGGACGCGAGAACAGTTCCTTGTAAGCTTGGCGTTTGCACAAATGTGAGTTTGTTGTCTCGAAACAATCACAGACGAGCGAGGATTGCTCTACTGGTAGAACAACCGCTCCACTTTTGACCATAATGTTTGGTTCGAGCCACAAAGGAATGAAAGACAGTGCTGTTGATCCTATGGTGGACTAAGCGGAAATGCAAACATTAGTGAGAATCCAATGCCTCAAAACCTAACGTTTCGTTGAGATATGACAGAAGTAGACAAGTGGCAATACAAGCCTTGCACTAATATGCCTCACTTCTATACCGTGGATGGAAATATATGGCTGTTGATCCTAGTGAAGGTGCCTATGGTGGCCTAAGCGGAACATTAGTGAGAATCCAATGCCTCGAAAACCTAACGTTTTGTTAAGATACAACAGAAGTAGACAGGTGGTAATTGTTAAGATCAGAACTGCCTGGCTTGATCTGCTGATAATTGATAAAGCAGCAAATATATCTTTGTTCACAAGAGTCAGTACCAAGCAATTTATAGATGACCTGAAAATGCAGTCCTCTGATTATCCCTATCCCAAATAATAGAGGGGCTCCTTTTGTCAAATGAGAGTTTTGGACTTAATCCCTCCAACCCATCGTTTAGTATTGAGTCACTGTACCTCTGATACTGCATGTAGTGATCAGACAAAATCCTTCCACTTTGGCTTCCCACATCATACCTAGGTGTTGTAGACAATTGGCCAGATTCCATTATCAGGTCACCTTCAAGAATTCTAAGCACCTGACACAAAAACAAAAAATACATGAGAAACCAGACATAGCTGATTCACATTTTGCTGCTGGTAAAAGGATAATACAAAGTTATAAGTAACACTTAATTTACCTGAGACATGCGAGGCCTAGCCAGAGGATCTCGTCGTATGCACAAAGATGCAGCATGCAACATGCAATACACCTCGTGCTCTGAGTAGCTGCTTCCTAGTCGGGGATCTATTAGCTCATCGATTGCACATTCTTCCAACAATGGACGTGCCTGAAAATAATTGAATGAAAAAATCACGGATTTTTTAAGGGAAAAAGAGACGAGGCACCTGCATAGCTGTACTATTCCTCAAACCACAACTGAAAGATGCATAATAAGGTGTTGAAGTATACCCATTCTGTGAGACACTGCTGGCCCTTAGGCCGGGTAATATCCACTGCTTTTCGACCAGTTACAAGCTCTACGAGCACCACTCCAAGTGAGTAAACATCAGCTTTTTCAGTAATCTGGCCACTTTGAGTATACTCGGGAGCCAAGTACCTAATTACAGAAAATAAGTTTAATGTTTCTGCAATTGCATATTAAAAAAAAAATGGCAGCCCAGTGCAGTAAGCTCCCGCTATGCGGGAGGTTAGGGGATGGGCCGGACCCCTAGGATCTATGGTATGCAACCTTACCCTACATTTCTGCAAGAGGCTGTTTTCACAGCTCGAAGCCGTGACCTCCTGGTCACATGGCAGCAACTTTACCGGTTACTTCCCTTCCAATTGCATATTAAAAGTAAAATACAAATAATTTTTCAAGGCCTAACCCAAACATTCCGAGTACTCTCGTTTCAACACCTGCATCACCATCTGGTTGCGATCTAGACAAACCAAAATCTCCGACCTAGAAACAAAGGTGAAGCAAGATTAATACAGTTCAAGTGCTGCTTCAACAAAATGTAGACATCTAAAGCACTGTAATGCAACAAAAGCAACTCATTTTTAAACTTCAAAAGCAATCAAGTGTCATATTTATAAGAAACAAGTGAAAACAAAAATGATATGTCAACAAGAGGATGATAAGCAAAGGATGCAAGTGAGAATACTCTAGTAGTCAAAACTCAAGGAGATAGCTTTCAAAATTGTATTGCATATTATAAAGACTACTTGCCTATTTTATCCACTCATTTCATTTTGTCTCACCAAAGAGGTCCACAATACATCTGCTTGTTAAGAGTTCTAAAACAGCATGCATTGAGTTTAAGAAATTGTTATATGACATTTGATGCTAACAAAGTTGCTTTCATCTCAAAGGTGTTGCTTCTTTTATTGTTTTCGTCTTCCAATCAGTCGCTTGAAAAACAATGGAGAAGCTCTAGAAAAATGTTTGTTTATTATAGTCCATCTATATCAATTGAGCTTGGAGAGATTAGAATATATATAAATGATGTGACCAGCTATCAGTGGCGAAGCCAAGAATTTCTCCAAGTGTGTTCAAACTTGAAAGAAGTGAAAAAAATTCTCCGACAAAGAGTGTTCAATATATGTTGTATACCTTTAAAACCTAAAACTTTACCTATATACACAGTATAGTTTTTCAACGAAGGGTGGTCAATTTGACCACCCTTCTAACAATGTAGCTTCGCCCCTGCCATCTATATCAAGGATACAACTAAAAGAAATGCTTCTGAGTAAGAGATTTTCCGTACTAGTGGTTCAAAGTCATGTGTGATGAGAATGTTGTTGGGTCTCATGTCCCTGTGGACAATGCATCCCACTCTGCACTCTTCATGAAGATATCGCAAACCACGTGCAGCTCCAACTGCAATCTTTTGACGTGCAGACCACTCCAAAGGTTCCCTATTATGTCCTGTAAATACCAGAAAATGATGTAAAGTAATACATAAAGGCAAAAGACCAATCTTAAAGTGAAATGAACAAACCATTAACAACACCTTTTATGAATCTTTTTGTGTCTATAACTTTTCTTTAGTGCAAGTTCTACTTCTTATATCACCATATATGGGTTTCCGGGTTTAAATCGAAATTACATCTAAGTACATGCTCTACATATCCAAACAGTACATCTCTACTGTCACTTTAATTTGATACAATTCATATATCAACAGATCAAAACAACAACAATAACAACAACAAAAAACTCCGTGAAATCCCACAAGTGGAGTCTGCAAAAGATGTGTACACAGACTTTACCCCTACCTTATGAAGGTAGAGAGGTTGTTTCCGAAAGACCCTCGGCTCAAGAATGGTGAAAAATGAAGCATATTTCATCAGATCAACAAAGAAAAATCATATTGAGAAAAAATATGATAGGTTTTCTTATATTACTGCAAGCACACATCTATATCAGCATTTATTGGAAATTAACCTTGCCAACCTAAAAGAAGTCCATTTATTGACTGAAGCAAAATCAGCATTCACCAGAGTGTATAAAGAAACATGAGTACACATACCATATAGATGATAATCTAAAGAACCATGGCATATATATTCATATACTAGCAATCTTCTCCTGCCTTCGATGCAGAATCCTATCAACATGACAACATTACGGTGCTGAGCACTTCAACTTCCGAGCAAAATTCTTGATCTCCTTGAGAACTTGCCAATTTATGTTGCTTGACAGCAACAACTTGACCGTCTGGAAGGACTCCTCTGTGAACAGATCCATATCCTCCCTCGGCCAAGAAATTGGCTTGTGAAAATCCGCCTGTTGCGAGCTCCAGTTCAGTATAAGTGAACCACCTCGGAGGTTTCCCAAATACAGGCGCCTTGTGTTGACATATTGAACACAAGGGAGGAGCGCCAAGAGGTGTATTTCTGGTTAATGGACTCGGGGATCCACTACCATCTTCTATATCAAGCTTAGTCAACTTCTCCAGCAATGACTTGGTTGTAGATATTTGAGACATGTCAAAAAATCTAAGTGAGCTTCCCTGGAGTTGAGAGAGTTGACTATGTAAATTGACACTGTCCACTATCGACGATTGGAATCCTGAACTTGAAGAAGATAGACTTTCACTCTCACTCTCTGAACTTGAATCATCCACATCTTGATCTTCCTTTAAGGAGAACAACTCTGCTTTGTGCAAATCCCTATTTGCTTCAGTGACCAAAAATGGTGAAGTTCCAGGATCAGAGCTTGAAACTGATGAAGTACCGGCTTCAGTAGCACTGAACATCTCTGGACTACTCGTTGGTGTTACTAATGCACCTCTACAAGAATCCAATGAATAATTTTTTTCTAGTTCTTTTCCATATGATTGAGCTTGCTCTG